GAGCCGGGCCCTGAGCACCGCGCCCGCACGGGCGCCCCGGTGCCGGTACGGCGCTGGGCCGTCCGGTGCCGAGCAGCGCGGTGACTGCGCGGCCCCCGGCAGGCCATGTCGGTGATCGGAGACCGGAGGTCCCGGGAGCAGAAAGCAAAGCAGGAGAGGTGAGAGCCCGCGCTCACGTGGGGCGCTGGGGACCGGCGGAGGGGGGGCCCTGCTGGTGGTCTCACCGCTGGGCTGGGGGCGGGCGGTGCTGCCGGTGGTCTCACCGGCGGGGGGTGGTGCTGCCGGTGGTCTCACCGGCGGTTTGTCTCTGCGGTGCCACAGGGAGAAAGAACTGGCCAAAGTGACCATCAAGAAGGAGGACCTGGAGCTGATCGTGAGTAGGGGCGGGACGGCGGGTGGGACATGGGGCGGGCGGTGGCAGATCCCAAACCGGCATCTGGTCACCGGAACCGCACCCAAGAAGGCGGCCGGTGCCCCCCCGCTGCCGCCCCGGCCCCCGTGCCGTGCTGCAGCTGCTGCAGGGGCTGGGGCTGTTTCCCTGCAGATGACGGAGATGGAGATCTCGCGGGCGGCCGCCGAGCGCAGCCTGCGCGAGCACATGGGCAACGTGGTGGAGGCCCTCATCACCCTCACCAACTGAGCGCCGGGGCGGCCGGACGGGCACTGCCTCGCCGGAGGCAGGGTTGGCCGAGACGCCGTGTGTTCCCTCACCCAATAAAGGCACTGGTGGGACTGGGCTGTGGCTGTGGTTTGCGCGGCACTGGGGTGGTGATGATGAGCAGGGCCCGGCCTGTGGCATCGTGATGGCAGCACCCAGGTGCCCTGCAACTGGAGTAGGATGAGGCCACCGGCCTGAGCACTGCGCTGCGCCGCTCCTCCCGCTTTCAACCCTGGCCCCTTGTTCTGGAGCGCAGGGGCTCTCCCAGGGGCAGTGGCTCCTGTCCCTCCACTGTCCCTGCCCCAGTGGGTGCACCCCAGGCCTGGCAGGGGAAGGCCACGCAGGCCCTTCCCGCCTGGGTGAGTCCGTCACGTCTCACAGGGAGGCCCAGAACAGGTCGGCCATGGTCCACAGACACCACGGCCAGAACGTGTAAGAAAACGACCGCTTTAATGAAAACGCCCCCATCTCTACACACAGGTAGAAAAGCCCAAGCCCTGCAGAAACAGGGTGAGGAGCTGGGGTCACTGCTGTCCCACACCAAAAAAGGGCCCAAACTGACAACAGGGAAAGTACAGGTGCTGGGGGATGCTGTGGAACAGAGAGGTATACAAGTCTGGTAATTCCCCCAGAATTGCGTGTGCTGGAGCCGGGGATGATGCCACACTCCTGCTTGGGGATGTCAGGTGCCGCTGAGGCTCTCAGGGTGGCTGCTGGTGGGATGGTGCCGTGGCCACAGGCCTGGCCCGTGCAGCATGGTGGCCATCCTCCACACTACCTGGGTAGGGAGCCCACCAGGTCTCCACAGTGGGACACCGTGTCGACAGGGCAGGCGTGGCAGCAGGGCACAAAGGAAGGGCTTGTCACCACACGAGTCCTGGCGCAGTGCTGTGTCCCCTCTGTCCCTGCCCAGGCTCCCAGCAGCTGGCAGAGAAGTGTCCTCCTGCCCGCTCCCTTAAGTAGTTTTTCGCTTCTTGGCGGAGGGTCTCTCAAAGACGTCCCGCACGCCGGCTGCTTTCTGCTTGAAGAACTTTGTGTTCTGCGCGCTCTCCTGGCCCCAGGCAGAGTCGAAGGAGGTGGTGTCCTGGTCCACCAAGTGAGTGTACTTTGTCCGCCCTGAGCGCCCGAAGTTCTTGACCTGAGGAGCAGAAGAGCTTGTGAATGGCCGTTCAGGGGGGGAGGCCAGGACCTGTGGCTCCTCCCGCTGAGAAACTGTGACCCCTCGGTGGGGCACACAGGACAGGCACCATGTGGCCAGCGCACCCACCTGCATGACTTTGGGCAGGATGGTCTTGTTGAAGTGGTCCTCGAGGGTTGGGGCACTGAAGTCCCTCTTGTACACCTCCTCGTCCTCATCCTGCAGGAGAAGGACACGCTGAACCCACAAGTTTCCAGCAAGTGCCAGCAGCAGGCAAAGCCAGGGAGAGCCACCAGAAGCTCACATCGCTGCTCTGCCAGTGGCTGCCACACTACTTGCAGCCCTATTAACCTACTGCTGAAGGTGAGTGACATGAGTGCTGTCCCCCAGTTCTGCCACTGGTGGCCACCCTGACATCCCCTCAGGCCATGTCTCCAGAGTCTGGGCCGTAGCCCACACGGAGCTGGCTCAGTTCTGTCAGGGCGTGCTGGCCCAAACAGCAGCACTGGGACAGCTCTGCTGCTTTGGCTCCATCCCAACTGGGAACACAACCCAAGGTGCTCTGCTGAGGCAGCACAGGCCGGCTCTGTGTATTCACGTGAGTTCAGATCACCTCAGCCACTTCAGCCCGCATCCGAGGGCTGGCTCTTGTCCCAGGGCTCTGTGGGGGTCTCCCCGCAGGGAGATGTCAGCCCCACCGTGCCCAGGTCCCCGCAGCACCACTCACCATGAAGAAGGCGCCGCGATGGTAGTACTTCTGCAGGAACTTGTATTTGCCCTTCACCGCCTTGTTGGTGATGACCTTGCCGTTGGCCCGAAGCTCAGCGCGGCGCTCCTCCTCCGTCAGGTTCCGCATGCGCTCGATCTCCGCCTTCTCCTTCTCCATGCTGGGTGGGAGAGAAACCCCTGAGACCCCGTATCCCCCCAGCACCCTCCCAGGAGAGCCGCTGTCGCAGGCTGCCGTCCAAGGGACTATGCATTTACTGACTCTGCAGGGGAGCAGAGGCTCCCCGCAGGGGACAGCTGTGGGGTCAGAGGGAAGCCTGAGGAAGAGATGCCTCAGCTGCCCCCGGGCCTGGGCTACGGGCTCTCGGCCTCATACCTGTGCAGATGATACTTACGCTTCTCGTTCTTCACGGTCCCGTTTGATGCGCTTCAGCTCACGTACTTTCCAGGCCTCGTACTCCTCCTCGTCGTTCTCATCATCTGTATCAAGCGCATCCAGCGCTGCCAGCGAGCGCTTGTTCTCCTCCAGCTCCTTCTTTGCTTCCTCTTCTACGATCTGCAGCAAGGAACAAGCTCAGCTTGCTGCACCAACTGCCCCCTCCCTGCACAGCCCCCAGACCGCCCCTCGCACCTTGAGCGTGTACTTGCGCCTCTCCTCTGCCATCCTCTTTGCCTCCTGCTCCAGCTCCTTCTGCTTCAAGGCTTCTGCTTCTCGCTCCTGAACTGTGATCCGGTCCTTCCTGCAGGCAGGGACCACACCAGCCTTCAGCCCTTCCGTGAGCCAGCACAGCTGCCTGGCTCCTCACAGACCTCCCCTCGTCACGCACCGTAGCTGCTTCCAGCCTTCACTCTCTCCAAGGACAGGCCAAGTCCCAGGGATCTCCCCTTTGCCACCACAGGGCACTGGCCCGAGGGCTTCTGCTCAGACCCTGCTGTGACTTTGACCCACAGCCTGATCCCACAGCGAATGATGCAGCTGACGAGGGGCTGTCAGTGCAGGGATTGCCCCTTGTTCCCTCCCGGGGAATGAACCCCCACCCCACAGTGAGGAAGGGGAGACAGTGTCAGGAGTGTCTGTGTGGCCCCTGACTCCCGTATCCTGCCCAGAGCTGACCCGCGCAGCCGCGGCACCCACTTGCGGATGAAGACAGGTTTGAGACGCGGCTCCATTTCATCCTCGCTGTCTGTGTACTCCTCGTACTCAGACTCTGACTCAGACTCTTCTCCAGATCGACCCTCGTCTTCCAATTCCATCACTTCCATCTCCTCGGTTTTCCTCTCCTGTGCTCGCTGACGCATCATCCCGCGCCGACGCTCAATCTCCTACAGACACAAAGAGGGAGGAGTCACAACCAGCCCTGCCACCCTTCCCTCTCACTGTCCTCTACAACAAGTGTGACGTCTGGAGTCTTGGTGACAAGATGATACACCCGTCCCTCTGGATGCACGGTGGCCTCTCCCGGTGTCCCATCCCACACATGAGGACAGTAGCCCCAGATTTAAGCCACAGCCAGCTGCAACACTTGTCCAGCTCCACCAGACAGCCCCGATATCCATGCACATAGCCACAGCCAGCTGCAACACTTGTCCAGCTCCACCAGACAGCCCCGATATCCATGCAAAGGGCAGTACCAGCCTGTGCTGTGAAGGGGCTTGCCTAGGCTCTGCAAGCGCACCTCATCATCGATCTCTTCCTCTTCCTCTTCGCTGGTGTCCTCCCGCTCCAGGCGCCAAGCTTCCCCCTCCACCTCGGAATCGCTTTCTCCAACCACTTCAGGCTCCACGATTTTACGGTGTCTCGCCAGCCTGCAACAGACCCCAGTCAGAGAATGGCACTTCAAATGCAAAGAGGCTGCATGAAGTTGACAATTCATGAATCATTCCTAACGAGGCCCTGGTTAATGCTGGAACTGCCAAGTGTGAGCAGACCCCACGTGTCCTTTCCCAGGAGGCTGGAGGGGCCGGGCACCAGCAGTTCCTCCCAGCCCACACTGTAGGCAGCAACGGAGCTCCCAGCAGGAAGCCTCCCTGTCACTGGAACCAAAAGCAGCAGCAGCTCCACGGGAGGAGACAAATAGTACTTGGTTACTCCCTGTCTGGAGCATACTTCACATGACACTGTCCCCCCGCACTATCCCGAGCCTCAGCACACTGCATTACTTTTTATTTTAGAGCCTGTTTTCACCTGACCCACCAAACCATGCCCAGACGAGGGGCTGTGCCCTGGGAAATGGTGACTGCTGGTTCCAGAGCCCAAGGCAGCACAGACATGAGAAGAGTCAGATTCTCCTGATCTGCCTGGAGAACATCCCCAGCTTCTGCCCAGCTTTCCTGCCACTCCCCACCCCCGATCAGGGCAGCCCTGCAGGGACACTGCTCCTCGCTGACCCCAACCCTCACCGCTCCTCCACATCTTCTGCGATGCGGTTCTGGAGGCGCCGGAGACGGGGGTCGTTGGCGAGTTCCTCCTCCTGCTCCTCGGGCTCCACCTCCTGCTCCTTCGCCTTCTTGATGAACTGGAACTCCTCGTCCTCCTCCTCAGAGGACTCCATCGGCGCGTAGTCGGGCCTCTTCCCCGACACATACCGCTTCACCTTCACCTTCTCCATGGAGAGCTCGCCTGCGGGAGCCCGGGCCGTCACCAGGGGCCCCGCGACCGGGCCCGCGGCCCCCCGCCACCCCGGCCGTGGCCCCCCCACTCACCCTTCTCGTTGCGGACGGGCACGGCGCCCGCCGTGGACTGGATCGGCGGCTGCTTCATGAGGGCGCTGGGGACCGACATGGTGGCGGCGGGGCTGGGACCGGGCTCGATCGGCGGCCGCTGACAACAAACTCCTCGCAGCCGCGGAACCGGAACCGCGCTCTCGCTTCCGCCGGAAACGGAAGCTGCCTGCGGCGAGTGACCGGATGCGATGCTCGACGCGGGGGTTACTTCCGGGGCGCGTCCCCGCCGCGGCGGGAGGGTCGGTTCCGGGCAGGGCCCTTGGGTGGCGGGGCAGGGCCCGGGCGGGGCTCCCGCTGTGCGGCCGGAGGAGCCCGGCTCCGGCCTCCTCCTGGGTGCAACCGGCCGGGGCCACCGGCCGCCTCTGCCCGGTGCCGCGGCGGTGGGGGGCGCTGGCGCTGGGGCCCCGGCTGTCGCCCCCTCCCGGAGTCAGGGCTGGGCGGAAGCGGCGAACCGCGGCGGCTGGTACGGCCACCCGGACGCCGAGCATTCGGCTTCCCCCGGGGCCTTACTGGGCGCCTGGCGGGGGGCACCCTCAGGACACGGCGGGGCGCGGGGGCAGAGCCGCCGGTGGGTCTGTGCTGTCCCCGCCGCCGGTGCGGCTGCCCTGGGGGCAGAGCTGGAGCTCTCGGGGCGGCCGCTGCCTTCGCTCAGCTCTGAGCCCCGGCCCTCCTGCTTTGCCCGCGCATCGCTGCACCCCCCAGACCCGGTGCCTGTCTCCCGGGCAGTGCGGACCAGCGGCCACCGTGCAGCCGCAGCCCGTGGGGCGGGCAGTGACGGGTGCCGGAGCTGCTGCTGCAGCAGGGCCTTCCCCCCGCGCTGCGGGGCTGGGGCAGCCCCTGGGATTCCTGGTGGCACTGCTGAGGTGACAGAGGTGGCGTGTGTGTCGGGAAGGGCTGGGGCCGTGGCTGCTTCGTGGCAGGTGTCGGGGGGTTTCCATAAGCAGCTGGGTGCTGCTCACACCAGCCTCCCAGGGGTGTGAGGTTTCGTTGAGGGCAGAGCCAGGAGCAATGGGCTGGGGTGAGGGGCCCCTGCCCTGGCATCCAGCCACAGGAGATGAGGCTCCTCTTGAAGTTGGGCAAAACTGCGTCACAAACCACTGCAGCCACATCTGCTATCCTGTGCTGCCTTCTCGAAAGAAAGGAAGAGGTTTTATCTTCCGGGAAGGCAACCTGCCAGCACTCTGCAGCAGGGGAATTTAGGAAGAAGCTGTGCTTTAACCCTGTGCTGCCAACGCGTGCTCCACGCTCACCAGAGCTGCTGCCCTCGTGGACATGGCACAGGGGCCATGTGAGGCAATGCCAGCGTCGGAGGTGGCAGCCAGGAAGCCCCAGAGCAAGAGTGCTGTTCCAGTTGGTGGGTCAGCAATGGAGCATGATCCCTAAGGAAGTGCAGGGAATTCTTTTTTTTTTCCTGTGTCCTTGTTTCCGGGCTGGGAAATGTCCTGGGGGCTCATTCGGCCAGTCCTAGGGAGCACAGACCTGATTCTCAGCAGCAGTATCGTCCCCGCTCTGGGCCTGGCTCCCCTGGGGTGGAGGGTCCCAGCGGTGGCTGCCGAGGTCCCCAGGCTGGCACGAGGGCAGGCTCTCTCCTGGGGTCTCTTTCCCTCAGCACCCCTGTGGGCTGGGATCCAGGTGGGTCACCACTAACCCACCGGGCTGTAGGGGGGACAGCTGGGACCCAGCCTGTGCTGGCTGTGCCCGGCTGTCCTGGGCTCAGTCCTCGCTGTGGCGCTGGGGAAGGCTCTCCCCACAGCCCCAGGAACTGCCTCAGAGAGCCCCGTTCCTGCCCCGGGCAGAGCTCTGGGCTCTCTTCAGGGTGACCCTGCTTCAGCACGTCCTCGCAGCAGCCAGAGGAGCTGGGCAGGGAGGAGGGATGGGGTGCACTGTGGGGCTCCTGTGGTGCTCAGAGTTTCTTGTTTGCCTGGGCAGCTGGGGCATTTGCAGCTTTATGATCCTATGGCTGCTGATGGTCCTCCCCGGCCTTGCCCAGGTATAAACAAGAGCTCATTTGGGTGTTCCTGGCCTTTACACCCAAATGACAATTAGAGCTCCTGCTCTGCATTTGATCATCTGATGAGATATTAATCTTGTGGGTTATCACGACATGTTCGCGCCTAATGAGTCCTGTGCCACCATGGCAAGGAGCGAGCCTCAGCATATGACTCGGAGAAACAATGAGACACCAGTTTAGGGGAAGCTGGGGAGCAGCACACAAAGCACATTGTGTCCTCTTCATCTGAAGCAAAAGTAAAGACCTTGGCAAACAGGGAAATGTGTTCGCAGCCTGGCTCAGTTCTGTGACCGTGGGCGCTGGAGGCTCTGGCAAGAAGGGGCCCTCGGCCGGTGATGTGTCCCCTCTGCCCTGTGTCCCCTCAGGAGGCACAGCCAAGCTGGAGAAGCCAAATTGGGCATTGCTAAGCTGGTGTGGCAGGTGCCACGAGGGAACCCGTGCCCACAGGCGGAGGGGTGGGAGGTCTCTCCTGCGGTGCCCGTCATGGCGGGGGTGTACGGGGGTGTCGTGGCTCTGTGCCCACCCTTACCGGACCCCCTGGGGCTGCCAAGAGCTGGTGTGGCTGAGGACAGCCCCAGCCCCTCTCCCCAGCGCAGCAGCTGCCGACGTGCCGGCCCTGCAGCAGCTCGGCAGTGGGCTGTGGCAGATTGGGGGGTGCCTCAATGGGGCTGCGGCTGCCGTTCCCGGGGTGGTACAAAGCCACGTGGGGCTGGCAGCCACCGGCAGGAGTGAGGCTAAAGCATGGCCAGTGCCCGCCATGGGCCAGTCCTGCTCCTCGGTGCTTTGCCAGTTTGCTGGTGAAAACGTGTGTCTGTGTCTGTGAACACCCCCCTCCCCATCCATGGGCACACGGGGCTCTTGAGTGTGCTTGTGTCCCTATGTGTCACCTGCCTGGAGCCCCCGAGTGCCACAGGCACCCGACGGTGCTGGGGCCAGGTGAGGATGTTGCTGCAGCTGCCGTTGTTGGGGGACAGTGATGGCAGGGGCAGCGCGGTGGCGGCTGCGGGTCGATACCTGGCAGCGTCAGGGCTGCGGCTGACACAGAGGCAGATAACGTTACAGAACCGGCCCCAGCCACCGCTGTTTGCGTCTGCAGCTGCACCGCAGGGCAAGGTCAGGGTGTTCGGGCCAGGCCTTGAGTCCCCTGCGTGTGACCACAGCGGGATGTTGTGTCTGGGAGGGTGGCTATGAATAGAGCCTCTGGAGCTGGCGGGACCCTGTGGAGCACAGCTCCCCGCTGGGCTACGGCCATCCCAGCTCCGGGGACACCGGGGCCTCCCCAGGAGCCTGCCGGTAGCAGGTGAGGGGCGGGCAGGGGAGGAGAGGGGCCGGAGGGACACCAGGGAAAGGGGACTGCAGCCGCAGCTTTGGGAGAGGGCACAGTGGGGAGTGTTGGGGCACCTGCAGCACAGCAGAGGGGCTGCGGGCTCGCCCACAGCGGGGGCAGAGCGGATTGCTGTGCTCCAGGTAAATATTTTGTTATTGATTTGGTCCTTCTGGATGTCCTCTGCCTGCCATTGCTGTTTGTGGGGACCCTTGTGCCCTTCCTCCGCAGGCTCCCTGCTCTGCTCTTGCCCACAGTGCAGTGGCTGCCGGGGAGCAGCACTGCCACCCCCGGTCCTGTCCCCAAGCTCCCCCTCAGCTGGGGGTGCCTGCGGGCAGGGGGGCAGCCCTGTTGCTGCTCTGCCTCCTGGAAAGCTCGGGCAGATGGGCAGTTGCATCACCATGGGAGCTTGTGCAATCTGCAACCCGAAAGCCAAAAATTGACCTGATTTTTCCATGAAAGTAGGTTTCTATTGATGGTTGTGGCTGGGCCTGGCCACATCGTGTGCTGGGTGCAGAGGAGCACAGGGGGGTCTCCTCCTGGCCGCAGTGAGCAGTTTGGCCCCCGTGCCTACAGCGCTGGGCAGAGCTCATGGGGAGCTGCCAGTGTGACAGGGCGCTGGGAGTCACAGCCCACCCCGGGCCGTCTCCTGGAGTGTGCCGGTGCCTCCAAACGATGAGGATCCCTTCAGCACCCCAGAGGAGGGGGGGTGGTCCTGGCAGATGTGGCTACAGTGGCTGTCTCACCCCCTTGCTTCCCCACAGGCAGGGGCCGAGAGATGCCGAGCAGCCACGTAAAGTGTGGGGGGAACAGCAGCCGTTTGGGTCCAGCCTGACGCCCTGCTCTCTACCCCCTTGTCCCATCCACGTTCATGGCCTCGTCCTGCAGCTGGGCTCTCCCTGGTCACAGGTGTTGTCTTTGGCAGGGCTGGGGTCAGCCTGCGGGTCCAGAGCCAGTGTTTTATGTAAGAGAGAGGTGCTTCCTGCATGCCTTCCCTGCGGCGCCCAGATAAGCCCCATGGTGACAAGGGCCCTTTGTCAGCTCCTGTCCCCAGGTGACATGTCACAGGGGCCAGGTGCAACAGCTTGTCACCTGCTGCCAGCGCTGAGCGAGGCCTCTGAAGATAAGGTGTGCCGGTGGGGCCTACCGCCCTCCCCCCCCTTCCAGGCCAGCACCTGGCTCAGGGCCTGCCCCCCATACCCCCTATATATCCCTGTGGGGCGCTCCCAGCTTGGCTGCACACCCAGGGCTGTGGGGCTGGACTGGGCTTCTCCGGTCCCCAGGGACGGCTCCCGGCCAGGCTGCAGCAGGGCAGGGGTGAGTGCTGCATGTCAGGGTGCTGGGACCCCCGGACTGCCTGGGGGACAATGGCCACAGGGGGTGGACTTGGGGTACCGCAGCCCCCGTGGCTGGTGGTCCCCGGTGGCAGCTCTGGGGCCGGACATGGGGGTTGACCCCGCTGGAGCTGGGTGCCGCAGGCAGGTGTCTGCCCGGCAGAACTAACCCAGTTTAACAGAGAAACCTGCCCTGTGCCAGATTTTCTGGGCTGTTCTCAGCATCTCAGTTACCAAGGTGACTGTTTCCTGTGCGATTGCTAATGCTTCATGATCTCCCTCACGATATCTGAGTGACTTCCTTTTCTCTGTAAGGAGCTGTAGGACCCGCTCCTGCCCAGGGGCTGCCCAGACCCCTTCTGAGGTGTGGAGGATTCAGGTCAGTTTGGGTTCTGCTGCTTTTCCTTTTTGCTCTTGACCCAGCTTTTGCATTGCTATTGACACGGTCTGGCGCAGGCCAGTGACAAGAGCGTGTTGTTTTTTACGAACGACCGAAGCTGAGATGAACCAGAATTGCCTTCTCACCTTTTCTCCTTGGGGGAAGTCTCTCCCCCGAAACCTGAACTGGGCTGATGGTTTTTCTGGGCTGGGCTGATGGTGCTGCTTTCCAGACAGTTTCTCTGTGGGGCTGCTCCGCGCGGGCCTGGGGCTGAGCCCCCAACACGGACTTTGCGGGAAGGCGAGTGCTGCTCCTGTGGGCCTGGCTGAGGAACCCCCTGGCTGGGCTGGATGGGGGTGGTCTGGGTGGGCTTGTGTCCTGCCACCCCCCCGTCACAGCGTGACCCGCCGCCTGCTGCACGGGGTGCATGGGGACGTGAGACGGTGTCTTTGGGGTCCCTTCTCTGTGGGCGCCATCACTCTCCTGGTCGGTGCCCAGGGCCCGTGGGGGGGTCTGGGCTCTTGTGGGGGCAGATCCAGGTCCAGGCACGGTGAGTCCCCGGTGGGTGCAGACTGCCCCGGGTGGGCACCCTCACTCCCCCGTGGGCACGGGCTGCCCCACGCCGGGGCGGTGGAGAGGTTGTGCTGAGCCCGGGGCTGTGCCCTGGTGTCGGCAGAGGGAGAGCTCCCTCCCCCCGGGCCGGGCCGAGGGGGAGCGGCCCCGGTTCTCGGGGTGCCCGGGGGAGCCGGGGCCGGGCGCTGCGGCGGGTCGCGGGGCGCTCGGCGGCGGGG